CTAGAGTCCCATTAAGCCATGCATGTTAATAAAGTTGCCAACTTTACTTGAAAAGTCACCTTTAGGAGTCGGACTAGGGAGTTAGAGCAAGGGATGAAGTGATTAAGTGCTTATTGGAGAACTTTGGAGTACAGGGGAGTACGTTAGGCGTACCCATGGTACGTGGCCCATACTATCCCCAACAGGTGTACACTTAGCATACTAGATGAGTACGCAGGGAGTACTCGACCAGGTTGGGCTTTCTTGGATTGATTGAATTTTTGGGGTTTGGACCTTGGACCAGGAGTTGACTAGGGTTGACCATTCAGTATTTCAGGCCTTTTTCGATATTGGTCCTTCTTGGGTTAGGTCCATGATGGATTGGGCCTTGTGGGTCATTTCGGGTTGGGCTATTTTTGGGTTTGTGGATAGTTGGACCAGCTAAGGAGGTATGTTTGGATTGGGAATAAGTTATTGGGCTTTAGGGTAAGGCCCATGCAAGGGTTTGGGCCCAATTTGGAAAATTAGGCCATTAGTGGGCTTTTATGGATTTTGGAGTTTTGGGCTTAGGCCTTCATTATGATTCTTGTTGGGCCAGGGGTAAAATGGTCATTTTACCCCAAGCATGGATTATGGATCATGGGTTGGGACCCATTTGCTAATTGGGTGACATTTGGTATTGATAGCTCGATGAGTTGCCTGAACAGCAGCTAAGTATTTCTTGCAGTAATCTTCAGTAGTGTGAGGTGAGTTACCCTTCCTAGATGCATGGGTCGAAGGCACCAATGCCGACCCACTAGTAGTTGCTTATAGTAGAGATGATTTTTTGGTATGCCAATATCTAGTGAGATTTATGTGCTTGTATGCTATGTTATTATGTGGTAGTGGTGGGAGGGGTGAAGTAGGCCCCGTAACCGGTTGAAATAAACTGGAGGGTAGGTCGGGCACCAAGATATGCCTGACAGTATGTTTATGATATGATATCATGTGGTAGTGGTAGGAGTGAAATAGACCCTGTAACCGGTTGAAATAAATTGGAGGGTATGTCGGGAACCCAGATATCCCTGACATGGGTTGGTCGGGCACCCATATATGCCTGACATGGGTTGGTCGGGCACCCAGGTATGTCTGGAAAGGGTAGGTCTGGCACCCCAGTATGCCTGACATGGGTAGGTTAAGCACCCAGGTATGTTCAGCAGGGTAGGTCGGGCATCCAGATATGCCTGACAATACGTTTATTGTATGGTATGTGGTATGATGGAGGAACTCACTAAGCTTCGTGCTTACAGTTTTCCGTTTTGGTTTCAGATACTTCTTCTTCAAAAGGAAAGGAGCCGACATGATCGCAGCGCATCACACTATGATTTTCCGCATATGAGATATTTGGGAGTTGTACTCTGATAATATTTTCTATGGCATGTTTTGGTTAATTGACACACTGGTTTTGATATGGATTGGCACTATTGATGTTTCAGACTACTCGTTTTTTTTTATAATTACTTATTTAAAAATGAAATTTTTGGTTATGAGTTTTGGGATGTTACACACGAATCTTAGTGAGTTCCCCAAGATACCACATACAACACAACATAAATAAATAACTATAGATTATCAGCAACCCTGGGGACTATCAACAGTCCCAGTGGGCTAACAACATGCCATGTGGGTTATCAGCAACCTTGGAGACTATCAGCGGTCTCAGTCACATATAAACAACATAACATAATAATAACAGCTAGACCCAACTCGTAATCACATATATAACTATTCTACTACACAGGTGAGAATAAGTGAGGAGACTCACCTGATACATACGACAAGTAAATCTTACACTCGAACTACCAGATCTAGACTCCCCCTAATCAACAAAATAATTAACCCTAATTAATAGTTAAGGTCCAAAACTCAACCCGTGAGTCCAAATCCTACAACTAATTTTGTAAGGGCAAAAAGATTATTTTTCCCTTCTCATGGTCCAAAACCCTAAATCTTGACCAAAGGTCAAAAGTCAACGAAGTCAACTGTCCAACGCGTACGTTGGGCGTATTCTTTTTTACGCGGGGTGTACAACGCAATCAGAACCCATTGAGGGTGTAGCTAGGAGTACGCTCGGCGTACTCTGTTTGCCTCTACTTTTACAAACTTTATGTCTTAATCCCTTAAGACAACTAACCTAACCTCAGATCCGACCATTCTAAGGTGTCTTAACCCACCAGTCATCGACATTAAGCCTTTACATGGCTAGAAAAGTCCTAATGCAACAATATTTAACTTCTAATACACTCTAAGCTACTTTACTCATGTATGAGCAAAAGGGAATGATTAAGCAATCATTTTTATGAGTCTATAGGCCCTAAAATGCATGAAAGGACAACTATAATTCCCTAGAGTGCTCCAAACTCATAAAGGTCCAATCTTGGGAACAACAGTTCATAAAACTTCAACCATGAAGATCTAATGAAAAGCTTGCCAAGGTATAGACTTTATACCTGAAAATGATGCACAAAGAGGAAATTTTTCTAGATCTACAAGCTTTCTAGCACCCACTCTTACTTCTCTAGTCTCCTTCTTCCAATACAAGCACCAAGAACACTCAAAAAGCTTGCAAAAACTCAAACAAGCAACTCAACTTGAAATTAGGGTTTAGGGAGGGTTTGGTGGCTGATAAGGATGATCTAATGGGGACATCATGTTCTTTAAATAGGGAGCAAACCTTAAAATTAGGGTTTGAAGTCTGCGCTAGTACGCCTAGCGTACCAAATGTACGCCCAACGTACTAGCTGATCATCTTCGATTTTCATGTTGCATGAGTACGATGTGCGTACTCTAACGTACGCCTTGCGTACAACCAAAATCGCAAACCTTTTCTTCAAGGGACCAAATGTGCCAATTTCGATAAAGATGCAAGAAATAATAAAAATACCTGATATCGGGATGTTACATTGACCGTTGACCGTTGACTTTGACCAAGTTTGACTTTAGGTCAAAGGGAACATTTTGAGTTATAAATTAAGACTTGGTCCACGTTTGTTGTATAGGTGACTTGTAGAGCATGTGTTTGGATTTGTAATAAGTTCAACTACCTTCTAGACTTTGATGTGAGTTCTCTCACTATATTCGTGGGTCGAAACCACCAAGGCCAGCCCACTAGATTTGTTATGTATCATTGTGTATAAGATGTTGCTATGCTTTAGTGATCTGTTAGATTGACAGACCTGTATGATTACTTGTATGGCTGGTTATTGATTATTGGTTGTATACGTTGACATTATGTGGTTAGGTTGAGGCGATTCTACTTTATGCTGAAGGCCAAGATACCTGAGCGGTCCAGTTGATACTATAAGCCCAAGGGAGTGGTCTAGCTTATGTTGTAGGCTCAAGAGCGGTCCAACTTATCGCTGAAGGCTCAGGTGGCAGTCCAACCTTGTTTTGTAGGCCTTGTATGCATGCACTATATATGTGTTTTGTAGGGTATTAGTGGTTGTCGAGGCTAGAAAATGTTAAAACATTACTTAAGCTCATGAATAAAAACATACAAGTAGCAAGAAGATGTTAAAACATAAAACATTATCATAAAGATTCAAGAACAAGTTCATGGAGTTTTTTAACATTCAAGTGATTTCACTAAAGTCAACCACTATTAGTTTAGCCTAACATGGCTAAACTCAAGAGAACAAAATAAGAGTAGATTATACCAAACATCTATCAAGATCAAGAGCAAAAAGATGATGTTTTTGATGTGTTCTTGGCCTTCCAAATGCTCCAAAATCTCCATAGAAACAAATTTTGACTGTGTAAAAGTGTGCAAAAGATGAACACCAACCTTCCTCAAATAGTTCTCAATATGGAATTCCGAAAATGCCCATGCACGTCTGTGTGCGGCTGCCCAACTCTGCGCAGGTGGTGTCTGATGCAGGCTTCTTTGAGTTTTGGGTCTCCAAAGCATATCCCACTGGCCCAGATCGAGTCCAATCAACTCACAATCCATTTTTATTCAAGTTCTCTTCATTTTAAGCCCAATTTGGTCTCTCCAAATCACTCATAGCTCGTGCACTCGCCCGATCAATAATCTCTACACGCTCGAATATTCGTATGTTTCTTGCAAATTCAAAGTTCATTTTCTCTAAGCCTTCAAATGATCAACAAGCCCATAATTTTCATAATCTCCATTAATCTTCTAGCCCATTATCTTCCATTGTCCTCCAAGTCCATTTGCTTCCCAAAGATCCCAATCCGCTAGTCTCCTTAAAATCTGCAATTACACTCACGAAACTAGAAAGTACCCGAAATAATCATAAAATAACAAAAGGGAAAATATGCATGAAGATTAACTAAATTATGAATGAATTATGCTAAAATAAACTATAAAAAGACATAAATAAAATGAAACTATCAGGTATATTGGGGAAACTCATTAAACTTTGGCTTACAATTGTTGGTTTCATGGTTTAAGGTACATCAGATGATCGGGGCAAGATGAAGGCATGATCGTATACATCCTCCTATTGATATATGTTTTGAGATTTTTGATACTCTGATTTTATGGATTTGTTGTGAAAACAATAGTTTATTATATCATGGTTTGTGAAAAATGGTTTACAAAAATGAATTTTTTTTCATGATTTTTGGAACGTTACAATCAATTAGGATAAAATACAAAATAGATAATCAGGAATTCCTCGGAAGTGGCCTCAGATCAATTAGTGAAAAATCAAAGGAATGTATATTGAGGTGGTGTGGGCATGTCTAAAGGAAGCTACCAACGATAAGAATTAAAAGGGTGGATTCAATTACAATCAATGGAAAGAAGGAGAGTATGACCACGAAGGAAGTGTGAATGCAGTGTGATGTTATACATGAATACATTGTCTCTTTACAAGAACATGACTTCATATATGAGGGTTGTAGTAAAGTAGCTTATGTCATTTATACATGTCTTATTTGTTATACCGTTCGCATAGTTGCTTCTCTACATGATATGCATAAGGGCATTTATGTGATACTATTACCCAAGTGGAAGCATGCATAACAACATCTACCTTCCTCCAACCTCTTTTAATTCATGGTTTGTTGTTGTTATTGGGTGCGGTGTTGCTATTATTGTTATTCTTGCATACAGTAACACCGAAAACACTCATGGACATACAAACCGACATAAAGGAGTTAGACTGGTCTTGAGTTTTCGTAGAGTTAAAGACCTGTAGTATGTCCTAATACAAGTGTTTACACCAACCATTCAACTTTTTAGCTCGGGATAACATGTCTTATTTACAAAACTTGTGGATAAAAGAGTTGCAAAAACTTTAGGGGATGCTTTCTACAAGTTTACATGAAGTACAAGGGCCGTTTGTGTAACATATAAAAATAGTCACAATCTCACACAATTCGTCAGTGTACATATATGGGACTGTTTTCCGTGCGATTCTACTCTTGAACAAACCAAACGCCTACATTCACTCGCCGTCGGCCTTCACGGTTCGTCCTCTATCTCTCTCATTTGTTACATGATTTTATTTTATTTGAATTCAGTGTTGTTCGTACACGATCGGCACTTTTTGTACTCCATAACTTGTAGATCTCAGTTTTGTCGATATTTCTGATACTCCTTGTTTATAGGTTGTTCTGAACTGAATTTTTTGTCCGGATAAATTCCGTGTTTTTTTTTTGAGTTGATCTCTGATCAGAGATTTTAAGGTGCTTTTGTAGGGTAATTGATAATCGATTGCGCTCACTGTGTTCGATTTCACCTTATGATTGTCCTTTTGCTTAGGGATTTGTAGTTGATTGACTCTGATTTCAATTACATGTACAAAATTGGTAAAATGAATTTACCGTTGAAGATCGAAATAAAACGACAAATCTAAAAGCTAAATGCGTGTGCTTGATAGCTGATGGTGTTAAATTGTAAGTTTCGTGTCAAATGAAACCCTAGGTTTTCTAGGGTTATCAGTGGTCCAGAAATTATGGGTTTTTTTTTTTTTTTTTCACTTATTCTCTTGATGAAAACGACTCTTTTTCTGTTGTTGATCCCATTGAAAACTGCAAGAATTTCCATTTTGAGATAATCCTACAGAAACTTCAAAATTACAATATTCGTATTATGGCATTCTACTTTCATTTTCTCCTATTATAGAATTGTATTTTATTTATTTTTCTTATTAGGACATTATACTTCAAAAAAAAAATTACCTATTTATAACATTCTACTTCTAATTTTTTTTTTTCTTATGGGGAAATTATCCCTTGAAAGCTCTACCCAATTATAGTAGTGAAAATTCTTTTTAATATAGATGACATTGCTATATATTAGATAAATAATCATATCTATTGATTGGACGACTGTAGCATCTTCATACTTTTGTTGTGTTATTGCAATCTTTGAATTTTTAAAAACTAATGATAATATATTTTTTATATTCCGATAATACCCTCGGGTAAATAGATGGATTGGCAAGGACAGAAACTAGCAGAGCAATTGATGCAGATACTGCTTGTGGTATTTGCAGTTGCAGCATTTATAACAGGTTATGTTTTGGGTTCATTTCAACTGATGTTGTTTGTGTATGCTGGGGGAGTGGTGTTGACAACTTTGATTACAATTCCAAATTGGCCTTTTTTTAACAAACATCCTCTCAAATGGTTGGATCCGAGTGAAGCTGAAAAGCATCCAAAACCACAGGGGGCTGTGACTTCGGTTTCAAAGAAGAAGCCAACCAAGAAATAGGCTATGGCTATTTTATATCATAATTGGGTCATATTGAAATGAAAATTGTGTTTTTTTTTGGATTTGGTTGTGTTTTTAATGTTTAGCTTGATAAATGATATAATAGATATTATGCATCGGCTAGAAAATTGATGAAAAATATTTTAAATGAGTAGAGGAATTGAATTTGATCATCTTTAGTATTTTTTTTTTTTTTTTTTCATACAATCACAGTAAATTATTTTCAGTCTTTTTCTAAATCTTGGACTATAAAATCTCTCATTTTTATATTTGTCATATAATTTTGAAGCATAATGGGTCCTCTACGAATTTGAATTTTGTGAATTTGCTTATTGGGCGTTTCCGTGACGTCACGTATTTGGAATAAAGGTACAAGGGAAAGAAAAAGTAATTTTCCTAATGATAGCATGAAGGTCTAAGTTGATAAACCATTTTAAAAAGAAAGTGTTTGGATAAAATTAGTCATCAGGAGTGTGACTTTTATAAACTCATTTATGAGGATAGTAAAAACTTATTTTCGAAAGTGCTTTTCTATTTTCTAAACATTTTTTTTTTAGGGAAAATGACTTCGAAGAGTAACTATTTTTTATCCGTGTTCACATATTGGTAATTTCTCCTTTTTTGTACATAATAAAGTAACTAACTTGTTTTAACTGTTTAAATTACACCAATATTACCGGTTAATACATGTTTTAACCGGTAACTCAAAGGAAAAATGACTTAGGAGGGTAATTACCTTTTATCCGTGTTCACATATTAATAACTTCTTATTTTTTGTATATAAGAAAGAAACTAACTTGTTTTAACTGTGTAATATCTCAAAAATCATGACCAAAGATTTCGTTTTTAATTTAATACTAAAACCATAATTGTCAAACAATTAATTTAATACTCCGGCATCAAGCCCTGTCCGATATCAAGTCCCGCCTGATATCGAGCCCCGCTCAGTATACAGATATGTCTCTCTTAAGCCCTGCCTGTCTCTGGGCCCCGTCCGCTAAACACATACAATTATATAACATGCTAACACATAAAGAAACATACTTTACTGTATCTATGTCCTAAAAAACATACTCTGCTAATAATAAGATACGGAACTCCGCCAGGGCTTCAGCAGTGCAAGGTGAGTCTCCTCACTGTGTGAATGGGTCTAAGACCACAATGCCAACCCATGTAGTTTATGAGGAGGAAGACCTGGGGGTTAGGCCTAGGCATTGTATGTTAGTATGTTATTCTAGACCAAGGTCTGATGTCGGGCGGGTGCCCGAGGAATGTTTGCATGTTAGATTATATTTGTTGTGTGTGTGATACTTGTATGTACCTGGTAAAGAGGTGAATGTGGGCAAGGTTCCGTATCTCATCACTAGCTGAGTACGTATGATGTTCCGTATCTTATTATTAGGAGAGTATGTTTCTTAGGACAGGGATACATATGATGTTCCGTATCTTATTATTAGGAGAGTATGTTTCTTAGGACAGGGATACAGTAGAGTATGTTTCTTTATGTGTTAGCATGTTATATGATTGTATGTGTTTAGTGGACGGGGCCCGAAGATAGGCGGAGCCTAAGAGAGACAGATCTGTATACCGAGCAGGGCTCGATGCCAGGTGGGGCCCGATGTCGGAGTATTAAATTAATGGTTTGACAATTATGGTTTTAGTATTAAATTAAAAACAAAATTTTTGGTCATGCTTTTTGGGATGTTAAACAGTTAAAACAAGCTAATTGCTTTCTTATGTACAAAAAATAAGAAGTTGCCAATATGTGAACACGGATAAGAGGTAGTTACCCTCCAAAGTCATTTTCCCTTTGAGTTACCGGTTAAAATAGGTATTAACCAGTAATATTTGTGTAATTTAAACAGTTAAAACAAGTTAGTTGCTTTATTATGTAAAAAAAAAAAAAAAATTGCTAATATGTGAACATGGATAATAGGTAGTTACCCTTCTAAGTTATTTTCCCTTTTTTTGATCTTATTGGCTTTTTGAAAAACTAAGTTTAACAAGCACTTTTTAAACTCAATCCCAAACACCCCTTAAAACTTTGAGAAATAGCAGTCAACCTCGTTTAGGGGTTTGTATCCCAACATTAACTTTATTCATCACCTCTTCCTTTCTAGTTTCATAAACGATGTCGACCCATAGTCTAAAAATTGAGAAACTCACGTGCATCATATTTCAGATTTCTTTTGTTGAAAAGATAACTTGGATATAGATAACTTGGATATAACAAGGATAAGATCGTGTGTGTTCTTTATGTTCTTCAACAAAACCCCATATCTATATGTAATAAAGACTTGATGTGTTCTTTATTTTCAACAATTTATCAGTAGCATTTTCTTTAACTAAGAAATAACAAGGATAGGACGGTGCTGCAAATTGATGAATTTAAATTTGGTCTCCAATGATTATATGTTCTTGATGGGTTTAAAAGTTGAGTTTTGGTGCTATGAATTGATGTGTTTAAAATATGGGTTTGATTTTTGGGTTTATTTCACGCCAATTTTCTTTTTCTTTTTGTTGATTTCTTGCTTCAAAATGCATGGTGGTGTACTGGTGTTGGTGGTGGCATTGATGGTGCTAGTGGGAGGTAGACGGTGGTCTATAATTGTTATTCATGTAAATTAATAATAATAATAATAATAATAATAATAATAATAATAATCACAATTTTAGAATTTTATAAATAATAATAACTTTAAATTTAAAATAGAAAGCCAGATAGGCATCATGTCAACCCCATATGATTCTAACATTGGTCAAAATGTTTTTATTTAAATTAATAACAGGTGACATGCAATATGGTAATGAGATTACCCCTTTATATGTCAAGATAAGTTTTTTTACATTAGTTTTGAAAGTTTAGAGAGTTGAATTGCAAAATAAAAAGATATAAAAATAATGACCAAATAAGATCAAAATATGTAGCTTGTTGGACAACTAAACCTTTTGTAATAAACCATTATCAAAAAGATCTTATAATGACCATTTTGAATTAAACATTCCAAACAAAATTGCGCAACCTTACAGCGTAGAGTGTCATCCACAAACCTCCATGCCGATCTTGCTCTCGCTTCCACATCCGTTCTAAAATATATTGCTGATTGATTAGTTTTTTTAGAGATTTTTGTAATAATATATTTTATATAATTTTTTCCGTTACTATGTAACTATTTATGCATATAACCAAGTTTAGTGTTTCATATAAGATAAATAGTTAAAATAACCTACTAAAAATCTAAAATGACCACCAATAGCTCCTCGAAACAATCTAGAGAACATAACAAAATGAGTTAAAGGTTCTTGCGAATTCATGACATAACTTTTTCCATAGTTACCACAAACCAATATATTTTTTTTGCCTTTTATTTTTAGTATAGTTTGGAAAGAATCACGTAATAATCTTAAATAGATAGGAACAAAAATACAATCTTAAATAGATAGGAACAAAAATACGACAGAATATTTAATTTCTAATTTTCTTATTCATATAAAAAAAAGTTGCTTTTAACCAAAATGGCTGATGTGTTAGTTTGAAGTGTTCGACTCTCATTAGTCATTAGGATTCCTAGTTGAATCCCTTCCATTTTCTTTTCTGAGAATATGAAACATATTTTTCTGTTTTGAAGTAAATTTTAAAAATAAAAAAAAATAAAAATAAAAATAAAAATAAAAATAAAAATAAAATAAAAAGTTAAACCAAGAACTTCTAGAATAATATTACATTTAAAGGAATTGCGGTATCTTGAAAGGCTTTTTTTTATATTCCACGTTAACACCATTATTTTTTGAGAAAAGGTTAAAAATGACCAACAGACCATTCAACTTATTTTTGTCCATTAGTAATGAATTTTTCAAAGTTATTCGACTTATTTTTATTTACTTTCAGATAATAAATTTTCCAAAATCGCCTTATTTTAGTCCCTTAGGTATCATATGCAACAAGTTCAGCAACTAAAAGTATACAATTTTGGAAAGTTTATTGTAACTAAAAACAAATCAAACGCTAAAATTATAAAAGAGTAAATTACACGAATGGTCCCTATGGTTTGGGGTAATTTACGTGCTTGGTCCCTAACTTATTTTTTTAACTCGGAAGGTCCCTATGGTTTGTTTTTGTTACGCGTTTGGTCCCTACTGTTTATTTTTGTTACGTATTTTGTCCCTGTCTTATCTAAAAAGACTATTATTTAAAGAAGAAAAAATGATGGGGTAGGTAAGGTAAGGTGAGGAGGTGGGATTAGAGGTGTGTTTATTTAGATAATTTAAAAAATCAAGGGCATAATAGTCTTTTTAGGTAAGATAGGGACCAACCGCGTAACAAAAACAAACAGTAGGGACCTTCCGAGTTAAGAAAATAAGTTAGGGACCAAACACGCAAATTACCCTAAACCATAGGGACCATTCGTGTAATTTACTCATTATAAAATTTTCAAAAGTCCATTACCTAAAAGTGGACAAAAATAAATTCATTGACCAACTAAAAGTGGAGAAATAGAATAATTTGTAGGTCAATTTTAACCTTTTCTTTTATTATTTTTTTTTTTTCCAAAGGTATGTTTTTGACATTCTCCAACCCAAGATGATGCCTCCTCAAGGATCCATAACTATTTCCTTCTTCCAAAAGTAGCAACAATCAAACCTATTTAGTATTTACAATGATGTTCAACAACTAGCGAGCTACTGGTTTTCATTCTTCATTGCTTGTATAATAGGATCATCATCATCATCATCATCATCATCATCATCATCATCATCATCATCATCATTATCTTCAAGTTCCTCTTCTATGTCATCTAATAAAGATTGGTTCATCTTCTTACGTGATTGTCTCCTATGTTTTTTTGGCGCTAGTCTTGGTTCCGCTTGTTTCACCCCCATATCTCCCATTTTGTATCTGATTTTTCAATATTTTCAAATTTCAAATTTCAAACTCAAATAAATAATACACAAATACTTAACTAATACACATACCTTACATCCCCCTCTCTTTTGGTTCCTAAAGTTCTCAACTGAAATTCCTCTCTAATTTTGATCTCATCAAGCAGTTGGAAGTAGAATGGATATCTTTCCCAATTCTCTCTCACAAGGCAACCTCGTTCCCCAAGATGCAAACAATTACTGAATGCACATTTCAATGGTGCCCTTTCTGAAAGGATCTTACGAACCTGAAGAAAACAAGAATGAAGATGATGAGTATTGAGTAAGTAATATAATAAAAGGCAAATCGAACAACTTTTAGTGAAGGGTTTGA